TTTATTTTACTTCTCCAACAAATTATTGCGCATATGTAGCGATTACCACGGTTTGGTTCGAACTGAACCAGACACTATAGCAATCGAATTAAAAGTTTTCAGTTATGATTCAGATCTAGAACCCAATATTTGGATTTCAATTTATTAAATTTAAGAAAAAAAAAAAAAACTGGATCATGAACCGGCGGTTCCGGATCCCATTCGCGATTTTGAACCGTCTTTATTTTAAAATTTTATTTTTTATTTTAAAATAGTTTAAATTCAACAATAATGTATTTTATTTTTTCAGTTCGAAACATGAACCGGCCATTCCAGTTCGCTATTTTAATAAACTCTAAATATCGTGTTTTGATTATAAATTGTAATTGGAATATTTTGGTTTGGTTACTATAGTATCTGGTTTGAACCAAATTATAGTAATAATTTATTGGAGAATAAAAATAAATAAAATATTTATTTTAAGGGTAAATATGTCCATTTAACATTTCAGGGGGAAAAAGAGCCACTTAAATAATTGAGGAGGAAAAAAGTGCTATAAGTATATAACATAGGGGAACAAGTGCCATTTTCCCTATATTAAATGTTCATTTTTTCGTATATTCAATAATGAACTTACCATACACCAAAATTAAACAATTAATATTATTAATAATAAACATTTATCTATGATCCAAAGTATAATTTGCCAAATTGATATGTAGTACTATAATTAGGTTTAATTTAGTCTGTATTTATTAAATTGAGCAATTCCGTTTCAGTTATTAAGACAACTGTTTTGATTTCTGTGTATAGTGATATGACATCTCCTTATTCTCAGCTGTTTATGGAAGTAGTTTTTCCTGCTGTAAGAATATTTATGACCAACACTTGGCAGGCTTCGATTTTGGCTTCTTGGAGAAGCTGTTGCCTCGCAAGCAAACTCTTACAAAAATGGGGTAAAATTGTTATGATCCCCATTTTTGTAAGAGTTTGCTTTCAATTGCAATTGAATTGTCTGAGTTTAGGCTAGTTTAGGGTTAGGATGAACATATATGATTGTTGCATTCATTATATATCTTCATTCGGGTTAGTTTAGGGTTAGGATGAACATCATTCTTGCATTCATTCTCTTCCCACTTGTTTGCCTGCAGATTTTTTCATTCTCTTCCCATTATCTTCATTCTTGCATTCATTATCTTCATCAAAATTTGACCTCGCAATTGGTTGTGCGAAAAATTTGCTTTGGTATCTCTCCAGTAAGCATATTTCCATTGAGATATAGCTCTTGTAGCTTGCTGAGTTCCCAATTTGCTTTGGTATCTCTCCGTAAGCATATTTCCAGAGAGATAAAGGGTAGACAAAGAAGTCAAATGGGAAATAGAGTTTGAAATGGTTCCCTGCAATTGGTTGTCACCAAGACTAAGTGACTCTAGATTGGTCCAATCGTAAATCCAATTTTGTATGGGCAATTCATGTGGTTACCAGAAGCATCCAAATTTTTAAGGAAAGCCAAGTTTGAAAATCTATTAGGTAAAGGGCCTTGCAGTTGATTGTCAAGGGCCTTGCAGTTGATTGTCATTAATGTACACAGATACCAAGTGACTAAGACCAAACAATTGATGGGGTAATGAACCATTCAAATTATTTCCAGACATGTCAAGAATACTAAGAGATGTCATGATTTGAGGTATGCTTAGCTTCTTAATTCACAGGGATATGATTATGATAGTTTCCAAATTAGTTCTGTATAATTATTCATGTAACATGCCTATTTTAGGAATGAAGGACTGTCCTTCTTGCACAACGCCAATCTCCATGCCCGTTTCCCCCCTCCCATACCACTCTGAAGAGCAGTTGAAAGTTCTGTCTTTATCTCTATTTCCAGACTTTGAAACAAAACCAGTTGTTTGAGCTGCAGGATTTCATATTTTAAACTTGCTTTCATATTTGATGTCTTATCTTATAAAATCACTTACAAATGTGCTACAGATTGAGACAGCATCGTATTATGGAAGTTTACTGTGAGGAATTGAAACATTGATTGAAATCTTGGTGGAGTTTGATAATCCCTTTAAGGCATCAGTCACCCAATCATTACCATTCTGTATTAGTTTTTGTGGTCACCTATTCTGATTTGTATTCTTGAATGTGATTCTTGTAAGTTCTAAAGTTCTTTCTTTGAATCCATTTTTGGTTTCGGGTTCTTTTTTCTAATGTTTTTTTGGTCAGTACAAGTGATCCTTGATTAGTTTTTCATCATCTGTTATGTGAAAGCTGCTTCTTTGTTCTTGGCCTGGTGAGTTTGCCCAGTTTTCCTGTTCCTAGACTGGACTGGACTGAAGATGGTCGCGATACAGTTCTTGAATGGTTTAGTATCAGAAACAGACACTAGAAAGAGCAGCATATTGGAATTTGAATCGGAGAGTTATGAAAAGAGGAATTCAAAATGGGATGGGTTTCTTCAGCTGTTGAGGGATAAATTCAAGAAGAGGCATTTCGGAAGCTTGGATCATCTCAGTTGTTTGAAAATCTGGAGGCAGCTTGTGGTGCAGAGCCCCATTCTGGAGGGTGATTTTAGTTATTTCAAGCCGGCCTCAGTGGAACAACTTCAGCCTGGCATAATGGCATAATGGCTCATCTCAACCATCCAAATACTACCAAGTTGATCGGCTATGGAGTTGAAGGTGGATGCTACCTTGTTCTTGAGCTGTCTCCTCATGGAAGCTTAGCTTCTATGCTGCATGGTATTCCTTGCAGCCCTGATTTCTTCCTTTCGTACTGTCTATTCTTTTGTCCATTTATCTCGAAGCAGAAACTGGGATGGTATATGCAGTATAAATTTTGATAAATGATGTTTTAAAATGATTTTATGATCTAATTATTTCTTGAGTCGAATGTTATAATTGGATACAATTGTCACAAGATACAAAGATTTATGTGGTGTTAAATTTTCAAATTCTAAAGGTTTCCATATAATTGTAATACATAGTTAGATATATATATAACTATCACAACTTCACAAGACAAAATTGTTTATATTGAATTGTCAAAACTTAAAAGTTCGAATATTATTGTCACACAATATAAATGATTGAGATTTTTTCGGGGCTTCCAAAACACAAGTAGGCAATAGACATGCTTTTATTAGCAATGATGTATTTAAGTCCATTCCCTTGCTTAGAATTCATAACTCTTCTATCCCAGGTTGTCAGAATAATAGAGAGCATGAAGCTAAGTTCAGAGAACAGAGTATTAGGAATTGAAGAAGAAGAATGAACTTAATTTATTACTGCCATATTACAGGAGAATACAACATTGTTATTCACTTCTAAACTTTCATCCAACTCTGTATAGCTAGAAGCATTAAGCACTCAAAGCATGTGCCCATACTAAAAAAGACTTCAACTTCTTATCTAAAAATTTAAAATAAGCAATCCTCCAAGATTTTACAAGAAACAAAAGAGCCATAGATGGATCCAGAGCCCACTGCAAATCCTATAACCATGCTAACATAAAACCAATCCACTTCACAACCATCATCTCTTTCGCTTTCATTTTTGGGAATTTTACCATCATCAATACTGCTACAGCTTTTTGAGAGCGGAGGGCCACAGAGGTTGTTGCCAATGTAACACGAAGCATTAAAGCCTTGCAGTTGAGTACCTGAAGGTATCTTCCCAGATAGGTTGTTATAGGACAGGTCTAAAACCCAACGATGACAAACTTGAGAAGCTTGATGGAATTTTTCCTGAAAGTTGATTTCTTGAAAGATCAATGGATTCTAATAACTTCATATTTCCCATCTCCACGGGTATATTTCCTGTCAAATTGTTTCTTGATAAATTCAAAGATTTCAATCTCACAAGATTCGTCAATTCAATTGGAATATCCCCATTAAAGTTGTTATTAGAAAAATCCATGCTAACAAACAACTTTAGAATGATAGTGAAATACTCATACTCATGTCCTTTAGTAGTCACTAGAGCACTTTCACCGAAGATTTTTCCAAAAAATGAATACCCCATAAGTAATGGGAGCTCCCCTTCATTGATCATTGCAGTGAGATTTTTAAGGCACTTAGGTATCACGCCAGAAAAGTTGTTATTGGAAATGTCTAAAATGCGAAGAGATGTAAGATGACAAAACTCTGGAGACAATTCACCATTAAACTTATTTGATCGGAGCCTTAAGATTATCAAATGTGAAAGAGAAGTCCCCAACCATCTTGGAATCTTCCCTGTGAATCCATTTTCAGCCAAATCAACTTTCAATAGGGAGGAGCAATTTTGCAGTAGTGGTATCGGGCCAGAAAGCATGTTTTTGTGCATGTCCAAAGATTCCAATTTACTCAAAAGCCTAATGGAATTTGGAATGCTTCCAATCAATTTGTTTTCCTTCATATTTAAAACTTCTAAGTATGGCCAATGCATCCAACAATCTGGAATTTCTCCAAATAAATCATTTCCTCCCAAATGAAGTATTCTGAGGTCATATTGCACCTTTTGTGCATGGCATAAGAAGTTAGAAATATTTCCTGAGAATGAATTGTCTGACAAGTCTAACTCAATTATGTGGATAGAAATACGAGGTAAGGGACCAATAAATTGGTTAGAGCTCAAGAATACTGAGAAAGGCATACCAATCTCTCTAGTTGAATGAGATAGTATGTTCTGAATTTGGCCTCGCAATTGGTTGTGTGAAACATTAACAAATAAAATTTGAGAAGAAAAGTTCCATAACCAAGGTGGAAGCTCACCCTCTATTCCAGCATTAGAAATGTCCACAAAAGAAATTTGATGTTGAGATTGCAACCAGAGAGGAAATTGTGGACCCAAATTCCAGCCACTTAGATAAAGCTGATCAAGTTGGAAGGGAGGTGTCCAGTTTGGATTGACACGCATGGTTAATCTATTTCCAGATGCATCTAAAATGGTTAACTTTGTGAGATTAACAAAGTGATTTTCTGTCACTATGCCTTCCAACTTGTTATCTGAAATGTACAACCTTTCAATCATTGGAAATGAATACCCCAAATTCTCAGGAAGAGGTCCGCATAACCTGTTTGTTGCAAGATTAAGCTCTTGCAGCTTGTTGAGATTTCCAATTTGCTTTGGTATCTCTCCAGTAAGCCTATTTCCAAAGAGATAAAGCTCTTGCAGCTTGTTTAGATTCCCAATTTGCTTTGGTATCTCTCCAGTAAGCATATTTCCAGAGAGATAAAGGGCAGACAAAGATGTCAAATTGGAAATAGAATTTGAAATGGTTCCTTGCAATTGGTTGTCACTAAGACGTAGTGACTCTAGATTGGTCAAATCGTAAATCTGATTTGGTATGTGAGAATTCATGCGGTTACCAGAAACATCCAAATTTTTAAGGAATGTCAAGTTTGAGAAACCACTGGGTAAAGGGTCTTGCAATTGATTGAAACTTATGTCCAGAGATGCCAAGTGACTAAGACCAAACAATTGATGGGGTAATGAACCATTCAATTTATTGCTGGAGATGTCAAGAATACCAGGGATGTCAAGTTCCAAGGACCATTGGGCAAGGAACCTTGAAATTGATTACCTCTTTAGGTTCATAGATACCAAACCACTAAGACCAAACAATTGACTAGGTAATGAACCATTCATTTCATTATCACTGATGTTAAGAGTGATAATGGATGTCAAGTTCCAAGGACCATCAGGGAGTGGACTTAGAAAACCAGAAGATGTTAGGTCAAGAGAAACAAGGTTATTGAGATTAAACATCCATTAGGAATAACAGTGTTGAATTCACTATGGGAAAGATCAAGGACTTCAAGTAAAGAATTGTTTAGAAGGCGAAGTGACTGGGATAGTTTAGGAAGATCACAATAAGATAAATGAAAGCTCACGCAAGGAAGGAAGCATATTAATGGCCTCTAACCAATTATGTGCCATGCTGAGATTAACATAACTCAAATCCAATAACTGTAAATTTGAAAGATTGGACAACCAGTCAAGACTCTTAGTTTTTATGAGACTAGCATGACTTGTATCATCAAAGTTCAGTTGCAAAATTAAAGTGTGCAAACTCGTAAGGTTTCCAAGTTGAGGGGGAATGATCCCTTGAAATCCCAAATTGGATAAATCAAGATATTGCAAGTTTGCAAAAGATCCTATGAAATTAGGAATTCGAGATCCACTGAAATATTTATAAAGCCGCTAAGATCAAGGTGATGTAGTTGTTTCAATTCTAGCAAACAAGGACTGAGTGTACCTTCGGAAGATGAACAAACTCAAACTGAAAGTTGGGATTTGTTAGCCCGGAGTTGAAACAACATGACCGGTTACATTGTCGCACATAACTCCCTCCCATTTGGTGCAACAATCAACTCCATCAACCCAAGAGGAGAGTCGATTCATTGGATCTTCAAAACTCCTTCTTGAAGCACAATAGTGCTTGCATCTCCCTCTCCTTGCAAACCCCAAGTTGTTGCTTCCGCTACAATTGCACAGCTCCATAAGCACAAAGGCGAAGAGGATGATGAAGAAATAACTAGTTTGATGGACGAAAGTCGTCCCCATTATGAGGAAAGTTTTTCAAGCTTAATATATATATGACTAAATGTAATGCTTTGCTTATGTTTATTTGTTTGCTGGATAATAGATATATATACAAACTTCATATGCTATAGCTATTACTAAGATGGGCGGGAAGCTTCCTTGACAACTACGAAAAACATGGACTGGAAAATGCATTGCATGTCTCAATCGTATAAAATACTAAAATGTAATACTTTTTAAATCAAATTGTAAAAGTATTACATTTTCCTTTAAAAATAATATTACATTTACCCTTACAAGTAACAAATTTTTATTCCTAATTAATATTACATTTACCCGACCCGACTCACGATGAGATGGTCTCAAACAAGTTTTTGCCAATATATAATTGTACGTTGCAAAACCCACGCGAATTCTACTTTTAATTTTTAATTATTGTGATATTTAGTCTTATTATCCTTTAATTTTTATAACATTACATTCTTGACTTTTTTTATACAATTAATTAACACTATTATAAGTTAGTATTTGTTTCTATACTTTCCTTATCTGTTGTAGTCCAAAGAGTCAAATTCCATCACTGGTGTATTTAAATTTCACTATCTGTATTTAAATTTTACGCTAGGCAGGTCAATATTCAATATCGATGTGCTCAGTTTACAATAAATTGCAAAGTCGAGTATTAGTTACGTAATTTTTAAGCACCCAGAATTCATGTTAAATTTAATATATAGTTGCATTGTTACTTGCTATCTTTAGTCTTTAGTTGTCATTATTCCTGAGCTTTCTCAATCATTAATCAATTTTTAGTGAAATAAATTATTCTACCCAAATTGTAAGTTTGCTCCGTCAAGGCGTCAACAACTAAAAACAAAGACTTACAAGTCTAACCCAAAATACATGTTAACTATGATAGCAGCATTGCAAGTCATTAGTCTTCTCTTTTTTTTTTTTTTTCTTTTTTTCTTTTTTTTTGAAGGAAAGTCTTTAGTCTTTAGTCTTTGGTCTTTACTGTCCTGACTCCTGAGTGGCTGAGTTGTCTGGGTCATTAACCAATTTTTTGGGGAACTATCTTACACCACCAAATTTAATAGGTGGAATCCTTACACTTTTAAAAAAAATAAAAATAAAAATCTTTCTTTGGATGACTATGTAAACCTACAGACATTATTAGGTAAAATATTACTTTGTGTAAAAATTATTTAAGAGAGCATGTTGGAAAGACCACGACCACATGCATAATAGACATAAATTGCACTAGGAAGATCGCTCCTAAAAAAATGTTAATAAGAATCGACTTGTAATCTTTAAATACAAAATTCATACTGTACTCACTCGGCCATCTTTTTGAATTTTTTATTTTCTTTACTTGTAGCTAGATGGAAGATTTTTCAATTCATTTGCAGAACCAACATCTTTTAATGTTTGTTGTGACCTACTGTCTCAATGTATGCATCAACCACAGGAAATAGACTCTTCTTCCTGGAGGCATAGCCTAGACTTAGGGAATTTTTTACGAGTTGTTAACATGATACGGAATTAGACACGCAAATAACGGGTCAACTGACTTAACCCGTTAATATTAGCATAGTTATGATTTTTAAATATTATTTTATTATTTTATGAATATTATGGTATGCTATAATGAATATTAGTGTGGTTGACACAAAAAAAAATGGTATGCTATATGAATTAAATATATATATATATATTATATATATATATATACTATTTTGTTTATTTATTTATAGATTTAATAAAATAATTTTTTTCTAAAGTTTTATTTTCTAAAAAGAAAATTATATTAACATGTCTAATGAGTTCTAAATATATAAAGTTTTATTGTAGCAGTTGTTACATTTAGTTATATTCTTCAAATTTTGTCTCATTACATTTTTAACTTAAATTTTGTTTACTTACAACGACAAATGTTGAAAAAGACGCTAGGCGCCCTGGGACCGCCTAAGCGCTGATTTTTTGACGCCTAGGCGGCCAATTTATTTATTTATTTATTTTTGTTTTTTTTCTATAAATAAAAGATTTAAAAGGAAAAAAAAAAAAAGAAGCAAAACCTAACTAAAAAGTAAAAGGTAAAAACTGATAAAAAAAAAAACAAATAAAATAAATAACATACGTACGTGAAGGCTGAGTGGCTAGGGCTCAAAGCCTACAAATTGATCATCACTTTACATTAGCCTGAAACAGAATCATCAAGGTGCCCTTTCTGTGTCTGCATATAATATGTTTCTAGTTCTAGAATTATGCTACTACGTGAATGTGTTTAGTTGGTAGTCTATTGTAGCAATTGCATTCGAGTTTGATTGTGGTTTGAGTAGCGTGTGTTTGCTACTAATGGTGAGTTGTACTTGCATTTTCCGAAGCTGAAATTGCTAAAATGGGATTTTAGCTAAAAGTGTTTTTAAAAAGTATTTAACTCTCCAGTGCTGGTGTCTCCAGAGCAAATAAACAACTTCATTTCCAACTTGAATTTGCTTGATCAGATTGGGAATTTTGAGCTTAGCCACTTCTTTGCTCATAGCCAAAGGTTAAACAATGAGGTAATAGTGGCTTTTGTGAGAGCTCTTTGCAAAGTGCCCATGTCAGAATTACAATCTTCAACAGATCGTCGTGTGTTTAGCCTTACAAAAATGGTTGAAGTTGCGTAAGATTCTTTCCTTGAATTTATCAAATATTGCCTCTAAGCCTTCTGTATGCTGAAACACTCTAAAAGTTGATGGGATGAATAGTACCAATCTATTTACTTTATTTTAATTTATTTTTAAATTTTGCAGGTACTATAGTATGAATCGTATTAGATTAGTATGGTCGCACATATGGAGTGTTCATTCCAATTTCTTTGTGGCTGTTGGTCTGTCAGAAAATCTTTCGGTTGCAATTTTTATCATGGATTTGTTGGGAATAAGACATTCAAGAGTGAGGTTTTGCATACAAGTTTGTCCCACATTGGTTTCCCAAGAATAGTTTTCCCACTATTTCACTACCAACCCAAATGGGTCCTTTGAAGTCTTTTCTAGAGAGAGGAAAGGGGGAGCCTCGCGCGCGTCGCCGCCTGCTCGGTTCGCACGCGCGGTGTGGTGGGGTCAAAGTTTTATTCTTTGTCCTATTTTTTTTGCGCTCCTGAAGCCTTCTTGTGGACAGGAGTAATCCGAGCCTCATAGTGGATGGTTTGTGCGCAACCTATCCATCTTTTGCGCTCTTTATTGTGGTGGTAGTGGGAAGGCAGTTGGTATACACCCAGTATAAATACCCAGCCTTCCCATACTGCAAAGTCATTCAGCAACTACGCTTTAAATATACGTATACTCTGTGAAATTTATACGTGAGTATCCTCTGTGTTTGCTGGTCGAAAGCCCCGGTTATAAAAGACTCGCACGGTCTCCGGAATTAGCTTTTAAGGCAGTGTGTCTATACACACGTCACAGAAATTAAACAAATAACTCCTTTTAAATATCGCATTCCAAAACACCCCAAACCACAACAGTTAAAAGCTAGTCCCTCCGTACCAAAAAACCAATATGTCTTCCTTTGTCGCCAAAGCTGCTGCTGATCTCACGAAAATCGAACCACTCAACGGCCTCAACTATCGCAAGTGGGCGGTGAAACTGATGATCCATTTCGAAGCCCTCGAAATTGATTACGTCGTCATCAACGGTCCACCAGCGAACTTGCTAGATGCGGTCCTGCCTGCACAACCAGCCACAACTGACGATGAACAATCTGAGAATGCGGTCACTGAACAGAATGCAGCAGCAGCAGATCCGAAGACACCTCCTTCGTCCAAGACAGACGATCGAGTCCAAGACACTCGTACGAAATACGAGCGCGATAATAAAACGGTAAGGGGTATTCTGGTTCATTATATGTCCGATGCACTACTGGACATTTATGCCAGCCAGAAGTGCGCAAAAACCATATGGGATTTATTGCGAAAGAAGTACGGCTCAGACGATGCAGGGCGGAAGAAATATGCCGTTGCCCGTTGGTTGAACTACAAAATGATGGATGGTAAGCCAGTCATTGATCAAGTGCATGAATATGAAAATTTGGTTGGAGATTTAATCACCGAAGGTATACCAGTAAGTGACGCTCTTCAAACTTATTCACTTCTTGAAAAACTACCTGAATCATGGTCAGAGTTCCAAAATAAAATGAAACACGAGTCTAAGGAATGTACATGGGAAGAAATGGTAAACCATATCAAT